CTTCATGCCATTCTCTTCTGGCCTGTAGTGTTTCTTGTGAGAAGTCAGCTGAGAGCCTTATGGGGTTTCCTTTGTAGGTAACCTGTTGCTTATCTCTTGCTGCTTTTAGGATTCTCTCTTTGTCTTTAATTTGTGGCATTTTAATTACTATGTGTCTTGGTGTAGGCCTGTTTGGGTTCTTCTTACTTGGGATTCTCTGTGCTTCTTGAACTTGAATGCCTTCTTCCTTCACCAAATTAGGGAAGTTTTCTCTCACTATTTTTTTGAATATATTCTCTATCCCTTGCTCCTTTTCTTCTTCTTCGGGGACTCCTATGATGCGAATATTATTACGTTTCCAGTTGTCCCATAGTTCTCTTAAGCTGTCTTCCTGTTTTTTAATAGTTTTTTCCTTTTGTTTTTCTGATTGGTTGATTTTTTCTACCCTGTCTTCTAATTCACTGATCCGGTCCTCAGCTTCCCCTACTCTGCTTTTTAAACCTTCCAATGTGTTTTTCATTTCTGATATGTCATTTTTTATCTCTTCTTGTTGGTTTTTAATTTCCAATTGGCTTATTTTCAGTGTCTCTATGTCCTTACTCATGTTGTTCAGCTTCCTCAAGATCATGGCTCTGAATTCTAGCTCTGTTAACATGCCTAATTGCTCCACATTGATCTCATCTTCGGTGGAGGTCTCTTGCTCTTTCATTTGGCTTCTGTTTCTGTGTTTCACTATTTTGGCTATCACTGTGGGCTTTGGAGCCTGTCAAGTTCTCCCTGTGGGTGTTGGTGTTCTGCTGTTTGTGGCTCCCTCTCCTGTGTTTAGATGAGCGAGAGAGGACCCACGTTAAACACCACTGTCAAGTCTTACTTTCCTGGTTAAAGTTGCCAGCCCAGGAAAGGTACTGTTATCCTCTAGCTTTTTGCCTGGAGGCTAGCAGTCTAGGTTACTTGATGAGTTTTGGGTTGTCAGTTGATTGAAAATCTCCCTCTGGTGCTCAGCCAAGGGGCTTTCAGGAGGGTGGGGCAGATGCTGGTTGTTAGTGAGCCCCAATTAGCACTTCAATGGCCCACAGGGTGGGGTTGGATCTCCGAGGGAGGGGCTGCTGCCTCTCCTCAGAGCCCTGGGAAGGAACAATGTGGCCACCTTCCTGCGTGGCTGCACTCAGCCAAAGCTCTGAGCGCCCTCCAAACCCTGAGTGTCCCGACACAGTTCCAGTCCAGTCCGCCCTCCCTCTGCCGGAGCCCAAGGTGAGTGGCTGTTTCAGCCTCTGTCCCGGCTGCGCTGTGGAGCCGCCTGGGAGTGTGACCCGAGGGCTCTGCTCCCAGCTGAGGCCGCTGCCGAGCTGCCGACCGTGGGCTCCCAGCCCCGTCTCGCGCCTTCGCAAGCCTACCGGGATGGAGTCAGTGTCCCTCATTGTATGGTCCTCGCAAGCTGCTTTTCTGTTGCTTTTTCCCGTCGATTTGTCTGTGTTATAGTTGTAATTCCAGTTTTGTTCTGGGAGACGGTCTGTGTAGCTCCGTTCACTCCGCCGCCATTTTTCGGTCCCACTCTGTGTCTTTTGATCGGAGCGTTCAGTACATTTACATTTATGGTTATTATTGATAAGTACTTATTTGTTGCCATTTTTGTTTTTTGTGGTTCTATTTTTCGTCCTATTTCTTCTACTAATTACAGCAGCTCTTTTAACATGTCTTGCAGGGCTGGTTTGGTGCTAATACATTCCCTTAGCCTATTTTTGTCTGAGCTCTTTATTTCACCTTGTATTTTGAATGATAACCTTGCTAGATAGAGTAGTCTTGTAATCCGATCCCTGTTTTTCATGACCTTAATTACTTCATGCCTGTAGTGTTTCTGTTGAGATAGCCTTATGGGGGTTCCTTTGTAGGTAACCTATTGCTTATCTCTTGCTGCCTTTAGGATTCTCTCTTTGTCTTCAATTTTTGGCATTTTAATTACTATGTGTCTTGGTGTGGGCCTGTTTGGGTTCTTCTTACTTGGGGCTCTCTGTGCTTCTTGTTCTTGTATGGCTTATTCTTTCAAGTTAGGGAAGTTTTCTGTCACTATTTCTTCAAATTTATTCTGTAAGCATTGCTCATTTTCTTCTTCTGGAACTCCTATGATATGGATGTTGTTACATTTCATATTGTCCCACAGTTCTCTTTGTCTTCCTGTTTTTATTTATTTATTTATTTATTTTTTATCCTCACCCGAGGATATTTTTCCATTTTTTGTACAGATTGAGAGGGAGGGAGAGAGAGAAAGGGAGAGAGAGAGAGAGAGATCGACGTGAAGGGACACATCGAGTGGCTGCCACCCGCACGACCAACCAGGGCCGGGGACAAACTGCAACCGAAGTACATGCCCTTAGTGGGAACCGAACCCGGGTCTCTCCAGACCGCAGGCCGACGCTCTAACCGCTGAGCCAAACCGGCCAGGGCTGTCTTCCTGTTTTTTAATTGTATTTTCTTTTTGGTTCTCTGATTGGGCATTTTTTTTTTTTACCCTGCCTTCTTATTCACTGATCCGATCCTCAGCCTTTTTTACTCTGCTGGTTAGTCCTTCCAATGTGTTCTTTATTTCTGCTATGTCATTCTTCATTTCCAATTGGTTTGTTTTCAATGCTTCTATATCTTTACTCATGCTGTTGAGCTTCCTTATGATTATTACTCTGAATTCTCCCTTTGATACCTTGCTCAATTCCCTTTCATTTATTTCATCTTCTGTCAAATTACCTTGTTCTTTCATTTGGGATTTGTTTATTTGTTTTAGCATTTTGGCTGTCTCAGTGGGTTTTGGAGCCTGCCAAATAATTCCTGTGGGTGTGAGTGTTGGTGTTCCACTGGTTGTAGTTCCCTCTACTGGGTTTGGATGAGTGTGGGAGGCTCCACATTAAGCACCAGTGTCAAGTCTTACTTTCCAGGGTAGATTTGCAAGCCCCGGAAGAGTTCAGTTATCCTCTAGCTTTTTGCATGGAGGCTATTATTCTCAGTTACTTGATCAGCCTTGGGTTGTAGCCTCAGCTGAATGAAAAAAATCCCTCTGGAATTCAGGGTAAGAGGATTTCCAGTGGGTGGGGCAGATGCTTGCTGGCTGTTAATGAGCCTCAATTTGCATTACTTTGGCCTGGCAGGTGGTGTTAAATTCCTGAGGGAGGGGCTTTTGCTTTTTTCCTGGGCTCTGGGAAGGGGCTCTTTGAGTAAGATGGTTACCTTCCTATGAGGGAGTGATTCAGCACAAAACTCCCAGTGCCCTTCAATTCCCAAGTCTCTCCACAGAGTTCCAGTCCAGTCTGCCCTCCCTCTGCCAGAGCCCAAGGTGAGTGGCTGTAGTTCATTTAGTCCTCTGTGCTGGCCCTCTGCACTGTGGAGCTGGCTTAGGATTTTAACTCAGAGGGAGCTTGCTCACAGCTAAAACAGTTGCTGTCTATGGGCTCCCAGCCCACCCTCTCATGCCTCTGCAGTTCTTACCAGGCTCGAGTTAGTGTCCTTTTTCTGTCCGTGGTTATATGGGTCCTTGCCAGCTGCTTTTCTGTTGTTTTTTTCCCCAACGATTTGTCTTTATTTTAGTTGTAATACCAGTTTGGTCCTGGGATATGGTCTGTGTAGCTCCCATCCACACCACTGCCGTTTTGGAATCCAGTGAGCATCTTTGTGTCTGATATTTTGAACTCTTTATTAGATTATCATTTATCTCCATTTTATTAAGATATATTTCTGGAGTTTTGTTTTGTTCTTTTCTTTGGAATATATTCCTCTATTTCTTCATTTTCCTTGTCTCCTTGTGTTGGTTTCTGTGCATTATATAAAACATCCCCCTTTCCCAGTATTGATGGAGTGGACTCATATAAGAAATGAATTTTATCAATTATCCCTGCCAGAGTTCTTCATTGCTCTCAAACCTTTGTCATTGCCCAAGCTGCCTTCTTCATTATTAGTGGCTCCCAATAGGTTAGGGTGTGCTAAGATCATTTCAATGTAGATAATGTGGGTATTTTCTCATTTATTCAATGTGTAGGAGAAACTCAACTAGTTTCTGGATTTCTTTCAGAGGGGATTGCTCCATGTGTAGCTTTAGATTCAGTGTGTCGGTGGGAGGAGGTCAATTCAGGAAGTTCCTTTGTTGCCATCTTGGAACAGTCCCTGGGATGATGCTCAATCCACTGAGCCACACCAACCAGGCTTTTTACGCATTTTTTTTTTTATCCTCACCTGAGGACATTTTTCCATTTTTTGCACAGATAGAGTGGGAGGGAGAGAGAGAGAGAGAGAGAGAGAGAGAGAGAGGGAAACATCGATGTGAAAGGGACACATCGAGTGGCTGCCACCCGCACGACCAACCAGGGCCAGGGACAAATTGCAACCGAGGTACATGCCCTTAGCGGGAACCGAACCCAGGTCTCTCCGGACCGCAGGTGGATGCTCTAACCGCTGAGCCAAACGGGCCAGGGCTTTTTAAGCATTTTTTAATGCCTTCCCTAAGTCTTCAGCATTATAGTTCTTGCTTCACCTAAATATCCATAGTTCCTTTTATTTGAAGGTTTATATCAACAGTAATATGATATGAGAAGGCAGAAAGTCATTTCCTTCTTCAAAGGATTATATGCTTACTATTTGCATTTTGTTTTGTTTTTTTCAAAATCTACGTGTGAAAGAGATAGATTAGAGATTATCCAGAGAAGAGCACGGAAAAGACAAAGGAATTGAAAATATGGTCTATTTTTAGAAATTAAAGGAGTTATTTATCCCATTGCAATAGAGAGAGGTATTTTATAAATAGCTTTAAAACCTATAAAAGGTGAATATTGAACCCTTATTTCCATCCCACAAGGGGAAAGATTGAGAGTGAATAAATTATTGTAAGAGTTAATTCATCCTTGAAGAAAAGATTATTGATGCTGGAATAGGCTACCAAGAACAAGAAGGTGGTCTCTGAGATAAGCCTGGGTGGGCAGGAGTGTAGAAAGACCAGAGAAGAAGCTGTTCTGGTGCTCACACCAGGTCCTCTTGCTGTATCCCAGGTGTCTGTCATCAACGGGACCAGCCCTTTTGCCTATGACTATGACCTCACCCACATTGTTGCTGCCTATCAAGAAAGGAACAGTGAGTAAATTTTATTCAGGTGCCTCTCAAGGACTTTCCAGGTTAGTGGGGGCTTTGGAGAGAAGTAGAATTGGAACCCGTATCATGATGAAAATGTGAAAATCAGTGAATGTTCAGTGAGGGAAGGCAAACAGGCTACCCAGGATTTGTCCTTTTTCTCCTGACCTACAACCTACCCACCCCTCACTTCTGTGATCTATCAGGTTAGGGCTGATTAACTGCCATATTTATCCTACCACTAGTTTGATGTAAACTCAGTTGAGGTGCTCCATTTACCACACTTGTAAAAGAAGCCAAAGACAAATTACTGTCCATAGTTTTCAAATGGAAATAGGGAATATGAGTGACTCTCTTATATCAGCAATTGAATTAGGAGAATAGGTACAATGTGCCCAAGGTTCTGGCTATAAGGCAGAGTGTGTCTGTGTCTGTCCCTTACAGAGGTGAGTCTCTTAGGCCATCCCATGTGCTTGACCTGGCATGTTTGGCTGGTTGGTGGTCTGAGGTTTTCTCTAAAAGCACCTAAAGTATTGCTTGGCAACTAGATAGATATCATGGATACTACACGCAAACATTTAACAAATGTGGGGATTGCAATTCCAGTATTTCTTCCTGATCTTATATAATACACTAACAGCATTATTCTAAAAATTAAGAAATTTTCTAACTAAAAAACTGAAACTAAACTAAAAAATTACAAATCAAGGTTTAAAAAAAATTCCTTCTGGTCTTTGTCTATATGCACATCTTCTTAATTTTTTTTTTTATCCTCACCTGAGGATACATTTGCATTTCAGATAGAGCAGAAGGAAGAGAGAGAGAAAGAGAGAGAGAAACATCGATGTGAGAGAGACACATCGAGTGGTTGCCACCCACACGACCCCAAACGGGGCCGGGGACAAACTGCAACCGAGGTACATGCCCTTAGCAGGAACCGAACTGGACTCTCTGGTCTGCAAGCCGATGCTCTAACCGCTGAGCCAAACCAGCTAGGGCTATACACACATCTTTTTATACAGCTGCTATCATAGTTTAGAGATACTGTTGGATCCAGTTTATTTCTATTTACTTTATAATGTAAATATTTCCCCATGCTGCTACAAAGTTTTAATTGGTGTTATTTCTTTCTTTTTTTTAAAATCCTTACCCAAGGATATTTATCTATTTATCTTCATGTAGAGAGAGAGGAAGAGAGAGAAACATCGACGTGAGAGGGACACGCCGACTAGCTGTGTCCCACACAACTCTGACCAGGGCTGGGGACAAACCGCAACCACAGTGTGTGCCCTTGGCTGGAATCGAACCCATCACTCATTGGTCCGCAGGCCGATGCTCTACCACTGAGCCAAACTGGCCAGGGCTAATTGGTGTTATTTCTAGTGGTAGCATAGTATTCCTTTGGTTAGCCACCCAACACCTATAGAACACATAGATTGTTTTCTTGTTTTTTAATGTATTTTGACAAGTATTTTAGTAAATAATATGTGAGCAACCTTGTACATTCAGTTTTACTCCCCATTTGAACTATTTCTTTGAGATGAATTCTGAAGTACAGAATTTGCCTGAAAGGTCAAAAGAGTATTTTCATAGTCCTCAATATTTTATTGCTAAAGAGCGTATCCCTGGATTAATTCTTGCTGTGTTGCAGTAACCACCATCCTGATTGACCCCAACCCCATCTGGCTGGTGGGAAGGGCTGCCGAAGCTCCATTTGTGATTAATGCTGTCATCCGATACCCTGTGGAAGTCATTTCATATCCTTTCTGTTAAAGAGCCAACAGTAGCTCGGTTTAAAAAAAAAAAAAAAAAGATTCCTCGCTTGTCTCAAGAAGGACTGTCTCAAGAAGGAACAGATGTGGGAAACCTTAGATTGGAAATTACTATAGCATCACAAACAACTCTGTCTGCTCTTCATACAGGGGAAGAGATTAATTTCCTGTTCCTATTTCTTTAGGAGCAGTTTTTCTAGGTCAGAATCATCCATATTTATGGACTAATAATCTTTTTTTTGTTGTTAATCCCCACCCAAGGATATTTTTTCCTTTGATTTTTAGAGTGAAAAGGAGGGAGGAAAGGGGAGAAAGAGGGAAACTTTTTTTTTTTTTTTTTTGTGGTATGTGCCCCTAGTGGGAACCGAACCCGAGACTCTTTGGTCCGCAGGCCGACGCTCAACCGCTGAGGCAAACTGGCCAGGGCAGGGAAACATTGATGTGAGAGAGACACATTGATTGGTTGTTTCCCCGCACGCACCCCGACTGGGGCCTGGATCAAACCTGCAACCCAAATACATGCCCTTGACCAGGATTTGAACCCGAGACCCTTTGGTTCACAGGCTAACACTAACCACAGACCCACAATGACCAGGGCTGTCCTAACAATCTTTTATTATCCCATTTATCGTAAAGGTATTTGGAACATTTTTGCCATATTCTGTGTAAACTTTAGTTTAACATTTACTTAGAAAGTGTCATCTGAGACTCCTTAACTGTGTATACTTATCTACCAGGATTCTGGGAAATTATAAAGTTTGCCTGGATCCAGTATGTCAGTATCTTACTTATCTTCCTCTGGGTGTTTGAAAGAATCAAAAGATTTGTGTTTCAAAATCAGGTGGTCACCACAATCCCTGTAACAGCAATGCCCCAGGGAGAACTCTATAAGGAGCACTTATCATGAGAAGACCAGGACTGAAAACTCTGAGCAGGACCCTGGCTACCTCATATTGTCTTCTGAGAACTGCCATCTTAGGATATTTCTGGAAAGAGCCCATGGACACGTGTCAGTATGTGTGTTTTTCCTTCCAGCGACAAAGAAGAGTTGTTTCTAATTTTTCTCTACACAAATTCCATATCTTCTAAGTGCCTATTGGACTCATCAGGGACTGGTTCGTGGAAAGTTCTGAGGGTTCCTGAAGGCTATAATTTGCCCCCTCCCCCTTTTTATTTTTTTGCCTTAGACTTGAATTTCAGGAGAAAACTCCAGTTTAGACAGGTTGGAAAGAGTTCTATCTCTAGTCAAGCAAAGACTTTTGCTCCCTTGAACTAAGAAACATGGTATGTATTTCTTTCCCCTGTTGTAAACCACTTTTTACTCTTTTCAGGGCTCTTGTGACAGATATGCACTTCCACTCTTGGGCACCTAAATGTCTCATTCAGAACTTAGCTTTCCAGAACCAAGAGGCCTTTAACTGGAGAATTGGAGAGGGGCAGAGAGTGTGACTGCTCAAGAACACGTGTGTATACTCATGTGATGGTGGGCAACTTCAGGACACTAGGACCATCCACCTGCCCTCAGTCTAACAGCCATCATCTGTCATTAGCTCAGCTGAAAAGCCCTTTATCCTGCCTTTATGTAGCTGGCTCTTTGCCCGGCCTTTTGCCCTCTGTCTGTACCCATGGAATAGCAGGCTAAGTCAGAAGTGCTGTTTCATTCACAGTCCTCTAAGCAACAGTGGGGTTAGTAAGGATTGTAATAACAGGTTTTTTTCTCTCTGGCTCTCACCCAACAGCCTGGACACTTGCCATTCCTCCTTCTTGACAGCCTCTCCCCCTTCCTGAAAAGGACATGGGTGACAGAGGACCTGTTGTTGGTATTGGCTCCCTGCCCGACAACCACAGAGTTTATTTGAAGGGCTAGCGGGAAGCCCAGCTACTTGTATTTCCCTTGACTATGGAACAGGGTGCCCATCAGAGCAGTGAGGGGAGAAAGAGGATGCTGGCCCAGGCAGCCCAGTCCAGCCTGGCTAATAGCAGAATGACAAGCCGTTCAGCAAGATTACCCTCGTGACTAAGCGAGTGTCTGCAGGAGAAGAGAGCTGGAACAGGTCTTTGTGACACTCAGAAGACTGATTCTCTGTTCTCGTCCTGAGAAAACATGCAGGATCTGCTTATGATCCCAAAATGTCACTGGTACTGGAAGGACACACCCACTATGACCCATGCTTCAAGCCCTTTCACAAACACACTCTTCAGTGTGTGCCTCAGTTTACCTTGGAGATTCCGTTCTTATTTCCAAAGCACCTTTTCTTCAGGCTGACCAAAATAAGTATTTTGGAAACAAAGCTATTATGAAGTATTCAAGCACACAAATAACCTAACAGAGGCCCCTCTGATTTTTCTTTTAAAATTTAGGACTGCTTATTTATATGCCTGAAAATTTTTTGAGGTTTAAATGAAAACTGGTTGCTGAATTTTCTCAGTTACATAAAGGTAATGAAATATGGAAGACAGCTAAAATATATAAACATTGCTTTGCATTTCATTAAATTGTTTTAATGCAAAATTTGTATGAAGAACCATGATGTTTTATAACTTTCTAATTAAAATGTTCAAAATGGAGGCTGCATGTGGCTTTTGAGAGGGGAAAGGTTTGGAGAGGGGAAGAATGGGGAGGGCAGAGGTGGCACACATTTCTCCAAGTTACTCACCAGCAGCCTTGCTTTGCCAAGGCTCCGCTCAGAGACCTTGGAGCTTTTGTTAACTCTTTGGCAAAAGTCCCCTGGTCCAGCCCCAAGTAAATGTGAGTTTTTGGTGGAATCCACATGGCATGTGGAAACCACAGGCTGGAAAATTACAACTGTGTCTGGTGAATGTCATATTTGCAGATCAGATGTTGGTAGCTTCTGAACCTGAATCACACAGTGTAGTTGTAAGAGAAAAGGTGAGAAATATATAGGATTTCATCAACTGAGCTGTAGCTAAGTCTGAGTTTGAGAGAATTACTCAATATTTGAGGGGGTGATCCCTAATTTTGCAAAATGATTTTTCAGTTTCTTTTTGACTCAGGTGAGGCCCTTTTTAAAAAAATCCTCACCTGAGGACATTTTTCCATTTTTTTGTTCAGATAGAGTGGAAGGAAGAGAGAGAAACATCGATGTGAAAGGGACACAACCAGGGCCAGGGACAAGTTGCAACCAAAGAATGTACCCTTAGCGGGACCCGAACCTGAGTCTCTCTAGACTGCAGGTCATCGTGCTAACCGCTGAGCCAAACTGGTCAGGGCTCAGGTGAGGCCCTTAAAAGCCCACTTAGGTCCCATCAGGCAATGTTAATAAAGCAATTGTATATCTTCCCCTTTCTTTCTCTCATGTTCTTGCTTTCATTTGTTTGTTTGTTTTTAATCCTCACCCAAGGATATTTTTCCATTATCTTCAGATAGAGTGGGAAGGAAGGAGAGAGAGGGAGAGAGAGAGAGAGAGAAAGAAACATTGATGTGAGAGTGACAGACACATTGACCTGTTGTTGCCTCTTGCACAACCAGACAGGGCCGGAGACCCAACTGCAACGTGCCCTAGACTGGAATTGAGCCTGCAACTCTGCCAGCCGACGCTCTAACCACTGCTCAGGACGTCATGTTCATGCTTTTAAAAAGAAATTTCTTTCTGACCAGAGAAGTTCTAAATGCCTGTTGGGGGAAGTGTGTAATTACGGAAACCTAAAGAGAAGAAATTGTAACTTCACTAACCAGAAGTTACCCCTGTTGGCATTCTGGTACACATCTTTCTGATCTTTTGTACTGTTTCTAATTTGTATGCTGTCATAAACAACACTTCTGTGAGCCCTGTGTACAAATCCTTGTCGCTGATTTATTTCCATAAGATAGATCCTAGAAAGGAATTACTAATTCAAAAAGCTTATGACTGTACTTAAGGATTTTAACTCATCTTGCCAAGCCACATCCTGGAAAGAATGCACTAATCTTCTATACCAGCAGAGATTTTTTTAGAACCCACCATGGATTAGAGAGGTCAGAATTGTCTACCATTTTCAGAGGGGGCGGAAATTTGCTTTATTTCTTGAACCGTGCCCTGTATTTATCCAGACTTCTTGTCCTCTTGGCTAGAGCAGGGAGGAGATGAGGGGACAGCCAACCAGCTGCGGGCCTAGCTCCTGAGGGCCCCCTGGTTTCTCTCGGCCCTTGGCAGCTCTACTACTTGTGGGTTCCTCTGGCATCAAGGTGCCTTGTACTTGGCCTAGGACTGAAGCTGGGGCCTTGGGAAGCCGGTTTGGATTCCAAGTCACTTCTCTGCGAGGATGTCACCGAGAGCGAGGCGGGGCAAAATTAAGATTCTTTTTTTTTTTTTTCCCTTCACAAAGGCCTTTTGTGCTCCCGGGAGGAGGAGACAACTGTTTTGGTCAGTTAGTGAGGTGAGAGGTGACTCTGCCAGCTACCCTTTGACATCCTCATCCAAACCGAGCGCTCCCTGCAGCCCCCAGAGCCCACCTGCGCCTTCTCTTATCCCGAGCCCTCCCGCTCCCGCCCCCGGCCAGCTGCCCCTCCCCTGAGGCGTGGCCCCTCGGGCGGTGGAGGGGCAGGGTTGGGGGAGCTGGGGGCCAACCGGCTTCTTCCTTCCCTCCCGCCCTGGCTCCCTTCCGCCGGCTCCGGGACCGCAGCCACGTCTGAAAGCGCCTCATTGTGTGCGCTCCGCCCCGAGCGGGCAGCGCCTAACCGCGCGCAGGCCGCACAGGTAGTGCCGGGCCACCGGGCTGGTACGGGTGGGGACCCCGGGTCCGGAGGAATCTGGTTCTTGTAGCTCCAGGGCTGCCCCCACCTCAACATCTCATTCTTATGACGGCTCTCTTTTTCCCGGGAACTCCTGCCCTGTTTCCAGGTTCCCTCTGCCTGGTCCCCAGGTGCCTCCAATATCTTGGTATCCGTAAAGCCCAATCCCTGGTATCGCCGGGTGTCCCTTAGTAACCTTGGGACCCTACGGAATAAATCAGCCCTTGCAGACTCCCAGTGACGAGACAGCAGGCTGTGGAGTGGAACTTGAAAGAGACAAGAAGCCTTTGCGGAGCCTCGGGAGCCGCGCCAGGTCAGCCAAGGACCCCAAGTTTTGGGGTTTTGTCCCCTCTCTGCCGGGATGCCCCACTTTGAGGCTGGGCCAGTGGCACAGCTGGGGTGGGGTGGGTATTGATCTTGCAGCTGGGGATCGGGTGGAGGGGTGGGGAAGAGCTGCAGGTGTGGCTCTATCAGAACGGGCGAAGAGCAGATCACCGCTAACCGCGCGCAGGCTCTAGTGTCTCAGGCACTAGTTTAAAAGTGTCTTCCTGGGGCTTCAGCTGCACAGGAGATCACAGCTGGGGATCCCTTATCTCTTGAAACTTGAGTTCCAAAGGGTATGGCTTTAACCTAGATAGCTTTCCAAGGGCTTTTCCACGGAACTCTTGAGGATAAACAACTTGGTGAGTGAATTTGGAACCAGATCCAGCTGATTTGAGTCTGGCAGCCCCTGCTTGGGCAACAACAGAGACCTCTTTTGGCCTCAGAATAGGTGCCCAGCAAATGTTAACCCTTCTTTCTATTTTCTGTTGTACCAGAGACACAGGATAGGAAAACTGAGGCCTAAAGAGCAGAAAGGATTTGGCTACCCTGAAAACGTGAGTGAGCCAGAGCTAATAAGAATAGTGTGCTGTGCCCTGGCCCCTGTGATTAGGTTGTGTGTTGAGCATCGGAAGGTTGAGGGTTTGATTCCCAGCCAGGGCACATAACCAGGTTGCAGATTCCATCCCCAGTCGGGGGTGCATGCAGGAGGCAAGTGATCAATGTTTCTCTCTCACATCTCTGTCTCCCTCTCCCTTCTTCACTCTCTAAAATCAATTTTATTTATTTATTTATTTTAAAGGTTTTTGTTTTGTTTTTTCCTCACTCGAGGACATTTTCCCATTTTTTGTTCAGGTAGAGTGGGAGTGAGAGAGAGAAACATCGATGTGAAAGGGACCCGCACGACCAACCAGGGCCAGGGACAAACTGCAACCGAGGTACCCGCCCTTAGCGGGAACCGAACCCGGGTCTCTCTGGACCGCAGGCCGATGCTCTAACCGCTGAGCCAAAACGGCCAAGGCTCTAAAATCAAATTTTTTTAAAAAATCCTTACCCGAGGACATTTTTTCCATTTTTTTTTGTTGTTGTTGTTGTTCAGATAGAGTGGGAGGGAGATAGAGAGAAACATCGATGTGATCAGGGACACATCAAGTGGTTGCCACCCACACGGCCCAACCAGGTGGGGACAAACTGCAACCAAGGTACATGCCCTTAGCGGAACCGAACCCGGGTCTCTCCGGACCACAGACCAACGCTCTAACCGCTGAGCCAAACTGGCCAGGGCTCTAAAATCAATTTTAAAAAAGAAATGTGCTGCTCAGTGAGTGCTGACTATGCTAAGGATTAGATTGTTCCATTTAACCCTCTCCAATCAGTATGGTAGGTACTATGATAGCCTCTTTCAAAGGAGCCAACTGAAGCCCAGAGAGCTTAGGAGTGACTTGCCCAAAGTCATATGCCTCACTGGTTATGAAGGCAGGATTTGAACCCAGTCTGACTTCAGAAGCTTGGCATCTGGCCTTTACCCACTGTTTTATGTTTTATATGTACATCTTCTTCCCCTACCTGGCTTGCCACATTCTGTTGCTAGGACACTAGAGTTACCTGAACCTGGTTAGGCTATTTTCCATGAGTTTTTCTTATGAAATCTAAGGATTCCCTTGGATTCCTAGATTATAGTTATAACCTAGAGTTTGGAACATTCCTAAATAAATATTTATAGGTGTACTTTG